TATATATATATATATATATATATATATATTAAATACGTTATTTAATGAGAGAGTGTTTTTTTTTAAAAAAAAATTAACGGCGAGATTTTTAAAGATTTCTTTTAACTTCTTATCTAATTATTTAATGAGAGAGTGTTTTTTTTTAAAAAAAAATTAACGGCGAGATTTTTAAAGATTTCTTTTAACTTCTTATCTAATTTAATTATTTATGAATTAAATTTTAATATTTTTAAATAAATTATCATAAATAAAAATAATACTGTGTTATGTTAAAAGTATCTTTTTATATAAATTTTAGTTATATATTTAAACTTAATATTTATTATAAATTTTAATTATATATAATAAACAAGTTACCATTACATTTTCCAGGTTAAAATACTGGTTTCTATTATTCTTCTTTAGCTCTTTGGTCCCTTCTTCGGATTTCAAATGGTAGTCCAAAATATTATTTTCATTTCCGAATCTATGCTTCCAAAGTAGAGGCTGTGTCAGTCAAACAAGCTAAGGCATCAAGAGCTTGATCTCATTTAGAATTGGACTAACAAAACTGTGTAAACTCCTATTATCAGATAAAAAACTATTTCAAGTAAATTACTTTAAGAAAAAGTGTTTTTGCCCTTAGCCCATAAAGAAAAAACATTGCGATGCTTCTTTCAACTGAAATGAATTATAAATCTTTTTTTTTTCTAACAGGTTGCAACCTAAAGTGTTGTTCTACAAAAAGGAAATTGATAACAGAAGTCAAATACGAAAAATTGGTACACGAATTTTTTGTATGTACAAGTTGTGGTCCTTTGGATCAACTGGATGCATGCATGTATATTTATTTAATAACTAGGTTTAATTTATGTTTTTTTTGTTCTTGTTACCATCATTTCACGAATTTGATTCTTCATTTTTTTATAAATTTGATCCTACTATTTTAACTCTGTGGTTTTTATCCACCCATTAACTTAGATATTTAATATTTAATGAGGATATTGACATAGACTATATTTCACTCTCACGCCAACACATATCCATGCTAATGTGTCGCTTTTCTACATTGTCAAGACAACATTTTTGAATAAATAGTAAATAGTAACTTACTGGGTGAATCTAAGTTAAACAATTAAAACAGTGAGAGATCAAATTCAACAAAAGGCAAAAGAAAAAGAAAAAATGAGGATAAATTCACAAAATGATGATAATAAAAAAAGAGTTAATTCTAATACACTGTCAGTGTAAAGTTTTTTTATACTGGTAACCAATCAAATCTTTTAAATTATTTTATTTTATTTTTATTTCATTAAATAAGTAACTGACATGACACTATTAAAAGATCTGATTAGTTGTCAGTGTAAAAAAACTTTACACTGCATGACAGTGTATAGGTAATTAACTCATAAAAAATCAATAGGCCTTATAGTTAAAGTATTTGTGGTATAGTATAAATTGAACAAATAATTATGAAAAAATTAATCTAGCTCCCAAGGATTCTTGCTCAATATATGTTGATAATATTACAGTTATAATTAATTACACTTTTGATTTCTATATTTTGAAATATGTTTGACTTTGATCCCTACTTTTTTCGGATTAATTGAGTTTTTATTTTAACATAAACAATTTTGAGCTCATCAACCTTTTAGTTGAGACACGAGTATCTTTCGATTTATTGAGATAGAAACTAATCTCAATGTAGTATTGTAAGTTTCGTTAGTTCAAAGTTTTTTTCATATCGAACATGCGATTGTTTACTAAAATTGATCTCGCCAATTTTCTTTAACTTGGAAGTTGAAACTCTCAAATTTATTATAAATTCGAGATATTCGGATAAAAAAATAATGATTTGATTTTTTAAAGTAGAGAAAACCAATTGGAAGTATCAAATATGCCTAACTTTAAAAACTAAAGAACTAAATTAGCCTAAAAAAAACTTGGAACACTAAGATGGTATCACCAATTCTATTCCCACGAAGTGACTTGGTAAAAATGTCGCCAATTGTTGAATGGTCCTAGCATGGCTTGTGGGGACTCGACCCTGCTGAGAATAAACTGCTTTCTATTTTGTCCTTTCATGAGGATTCAAGGCAACATAAACTTCAGCTTCATTCTCACACAAAGCCAATGTAAAATTTAGCCTCATTGTCACGCAAGAGGTTTAGAGATGGAGGACCATTCAAAACTTCAGCTCAATGTTGATCCATTAAATGTGTATTAGAATCAAAGCTTTCTTCCCTTCTACAATTTCCCCAATCTATGTAGAGAGAAGCTGATGATTTAACATATGCACATTATTCTAAAAAAGGCAAACACAACAATGCTTTGCACTATACTAGCTCATGCAAATATAATGAGTTAAAATTTTGGCATTCATTCATAGATGAAGATGAGTCACTACTTAGGTTACAAACAAAATCTTACATTATTAAAACAAGAGAATAAACACGTAATAAAGTCCTTGTTAGAATGATCATATAAGACCCTTTAAGATGATGATCAAAAGCAAATTTATAAATATTTAAATTTAAAGTAGACAATATTATACCAACATACAAACATGTGTAAATCTCTTGTACATAACATATTATACTCTTCTTGAAAAATTGACAAATATATCTTTACAAAATACATACAATGATACAAAACAACCCATCATCTATCCCAATGTCACTACATTAAAATAAAGCTTTATTAACCCACATGGTTCCTTATATAAGATCTTTACCAATTTTACTATAGCTTCTGGGTTTATCTCTGAATTGGAAAAGGAAACACCATATTACTTTAGTCAAAGGAAAACATCTTTGTTTTTACATTATCTAGAACCTTCACCAATTTTACTATAGACATAACTTAGATTTATTTCCTTAAGTTTTTTGTTTTCAGTATTATTTTTCAATCAAAATTGAAGTATTTCCTTAATGGTTCACTTAATAGAGAAATATGCATCAAAGATGTAGGTATGTTACTATAATAGTATTCCAATTTTGATTGAAAACCAGTACCAAAGAACTACATTTGTCCTTTTAGCTTTGAATTGGAAAAGAAAGCACCATATTGGTTCAGTCAAAGTAAAAATATCTTGGTTTTGCATAATCATAGCTTACTGTACATGCCCCTACATGCACCACTTCATTATGATTATTATTTAGATAAATATCTATCTAATCTTTGATGAGTGAGAAGTTTAGGTGCAAACACAATTCACGCACGGAATTATCTGCAACATTTCAGAAAGATCTTTCTGCCGTATCATTTTCCCCCCTCTCTTCTATTTTGTCACAACTTCATTTGTCCATACAAGATGGATATTTTAACCCCACAGTTTTATCACTCTCTTTATCTTTTCCTCCAAACTAGGCCCATAAACTTTCTTACTTATTCCCTTAAACCATGTCACAGTTAACTCAACAAAAAGGTAGGGAAAAAGGGGTCTAAATTCCGAAACCAACGCGTCTAAGTCAAACCAATCTCACTATAAATATGGTCACTTATAAGGTCCATTAATTCAATTCAACCCCAAAAGAGTTCTCACAACAACTACTTCTGCTTAACTTAAGCCTTAGGATTCAAGGTTCAAACACACCATGTCATTTACCCTTGGCCAGAAATTTTTCAAGAGGTTCTGTGTGGATGAATTCCATATGGGAAGTCTTCCATATAGCAGCTTTTTGTCCAATGATCTCTTGCCATCCCTTGGAGCCAGAATCAACCAAGAAACAAGACTTAGAAGATACATAGTTTCCCCTTTCAATCCACGTTATAGGTGATCATGGTTCTTCAATCACCCCATCACAATAACACAGATACAATTACTCTCTATAATGTTGTAGTTGTTTGTTTCTTCTCACATGCTATTCTTGCAGGGCATGGGAGATGCTACTAATTGTCCTGGTTGTTTACTCTGCATGGATTTGCCCCTTTGAATTTGCCTTTCTGCCTTACAAGCAAGACACACTGTTCATCATTGACAACATTGTCAATTCCTTCTTTGCCATTGACATCATGCTCACATTCTTTGTAGCATATCTTGATAACCATTCCTACCTTCTTGTTGATCACCCCAAGAAAATTGCAATCAGGTACTTACTTATCTACACTCTCGTGTGGTTATTGCTATTGTCACTCCTACTCAAATCATTTTTATTTAATACACTCTTCTTTGATAATCAAACTGATAAACAAATTTATCAAACTGATAAACTGATACACTCTTCTTTGTTCCAACTTAACCAATGATTTCGAGTTTGAGTACTGAATATGCAGCTCTTTCAATTACTCGAGGGAAAGTTTTATTTATCCAATTCAAGCAAGATTGTCTCTGGTGGAGACCAAAAACCGATAAACAAATTTTGTAAAATTTACTTAAATAAGAGTGACAACAGACTATAATGAATCTCAAAAACTTTGCTTACATCATATAGTTCTACAAAACTTGTAGGTACATATCTACCTGGTTTATCTTTGATGTCTGCTCAACTGCACCATTTCAATCTATCAGCCTCCTCTTCACTGATCACAGCAGTGAGATTGGCTTCAAAGTTCTCAACATGCTTCGGTTGTGGCGCTTGAGAAGAGTTAGTTCTCTGTTTGCAAGGTCCAACATTATATTATATACTCAACCTTGTGGTTTTCCAACACTTCAAACTCATAGTGCTTACTAGCTCCTATGATTTCCTTCAGACTTGAGAAGGATATTCGCTTCAATTACTTCTGGACTAGGTGCTCCAAGCTCATTGCTGTAAGCCTCTAAAGCCTATAACTTTTGCCTTTGGACACAGATTCTTGTTATCAAAACAAGATGCATTCACTACATGTAATGATGTGGCGCAACACGAACCGTTGGATGGATAGGGGTCACTATTTGGATGAAATTTTCTAGAAGCATTTCTTGAAAAAATTAAAATAAAATAAAATAAACTTCTCAATAAGCTAAAATTCACTCATGCATGAACACATCTTAGGACCGTACTAATAGATCTGCACTGAAAATCATTGCATTTTCACTAACTTAATTTGTGGAAATTCTTTCATATTAGTTTCTCCATAAACTTTTAGATCAGGCATAAACTAGTTTTAACTTATACACAAAGTTATTTCATTTTTACTTTCTATTTTTTTCACCTAAAATTACTTCTGTATAAGTTTATCTAAACAGATTCTCAGTGTAGTTATGTTCAATTATTTATCTTATGCCACATAATTTAACTTCAGTAAAGTAAATTGGGTGTATACTTTTGATCTCTGTCCTCACAAATTTTAACAATATAAAAAGATATATTGTTGTTATTTTTCTTCCATTAAAATTAGAATTTTATCTTGATCAGTTATGCTGATATTTAATGCAAGCTTTATCAAATAGATTATGATATAAAATTCTAATTTTGATAATAAAACAGATCAAAAAGTACTTAAAAAAAACTTCATCTTAACCAATTAGCATTGAGAAGTTTTGGTATTCTTTTCATGAAATTTCAGGTAACTTTGTTTGCTGTGCACTGTGCTGGATGCTTCAACTATCTGATAGCAGATAGGTACCCAGATGCCAAGAGGACATGGATTGGTGCTGTGTACCCAAATTTCAAAGAATTGAGTCTTTGGGAAAGATATGTGACATCCATGTATTGGTCCATTGTGACACTTACCACCACTGGCTATGGGGATCTACATGCTGAAAACACAAGAGAGATGCTTTTTGACATCTTCTACATGCTCTTCAACTTGGGATTAACAGCATACATCATTGGCAACATGACTAATCTGGTTGTCCACTGGACTAGCCGCACCAGAAATTTTGTATGTGCTCTCAAACTTCTGCTTCTTATCCTCTTTGATTAATTTATTATAAGCTTGAACAAACTTTTAGTTTCATGTATATGGATTTTTTGTTTTATTTTATTTCTTGCTATATTCAACATTTTTACCTTCATTCTTCTTTACTGATGATGTGGATAACAGAGATTGAAAAACTAAGACTAGTGAAAATATTTCAATATGAGAGTCTTTCATAAAAAATATAAATAAAAAAAAATTATAAAAACTGAAACAGGAATATGAGAAACTAAAATAAAAAAGAAATTATAAAAACTAATATGTGGAGAAAACTTTAAAACACGAAAATAAAAATAATATATAATAAAATCCAGAAAAACTTATTTAACTCTTTATTGAATCTACAAGACATTAGAAAAACTTATAAATTAATTTGACTAAGGTATGATTTAATTTAAACAAAATAAATTTGTTTAGTACATAATATTAGTTTGTTTTTAAAAGTTACTTTAATTAGTTGTTAATTTTCATTCTTTATTATTATTTTTTTTATGTTATTTTATAATTATTAACTAACTTACCATCTAATTATACTAAACTCAATTTAATCTATTAACTTCTAGATTTTAGTTTTTTAATTCATAATTTATAAGCTTTCAGTAAATTTATATGTTAATATTACTGAACACGTCCACACTTATTGTAGCTGAGTTTAGATTCATCATTTATCACGCGTTAGAACTGGAATAAATCCCGTGAAACTGATACTAAACTATTAATTTTAATTTCAAGCTTTAGAATTAGAATAAATCCCAAGTCTCAATCGTAACACACTTAACTATTATTTAAATAAAAGTTAAAAAGTTTTGATTCTGACATTTTATTAATTATTTAATATTTATAAATGATTAATAAATATTCCTTAATCCAGTGTCCTACACGAGTACTAGTTATTAATATACTTATTTTTAGCATCAAATCACGCGTAATTTTCTTCATGCTTTAATGTTTATTGAATTGAAAAATATAATAATAGAAAATTAAAATATGTACTCCAAAATTTATTGAAAGATAAATTCAATATTTTGTTTCACAAGGTTAATGGTTGTTTTCTCGTTGTATTATGCGGATGTAAATTCAATTTCTTTTCTTTTATAAGAAAAAAAGGCTCACGTTTATCTCTTGAATTATGGGTGAAGTCACAAGCTACACGAGTTACTTTTCGAGGTTAAAAGTTTATTCGATTAAAATAAAGTTATTTGGCTATGAAGTTGTTTTACTAATTTGTATCATTTTTTTTAAATTCTTTTTAGGTCATTTTCAAAAATATAATGTCATAATTTATTATATTTTCTTCAAATTTATTTTCACTATTTTATTAAAATTCTTTTTTCATCCTTCTTATATTTTGAACACTTTCTAACTCTCATCATATATCATTTTTATAATATAAAATCATTAAAATGTAATGTAAAATTATTTATATTATCTTATTTCATTCAATAAAAGATATTTTAAAATAAGATATTAAAATTAAAAATTATTATTCTAATTTTAAGACAAGGTATTTAAAAATAAATTAAAATATATTCTAATAAAATACTTATCAATTAGTTTAATATTTAATTTTATCAAACACTTCTAATTCAATTAACTTACTAACTTATTCATTATCAAATTTTAGCTATTTTTTAATTACTTTATTTGTTAATTTTACCAAGTATTCCTCTTAATTAATCTTTTGAAATTTCAAGTAATTATGCCATGATGGGGAGTACCCTATCATATATTTAATGCCACATAAGTATCTTGTGGCTCAAATATCTCATTAAAATACCTTATCACTAAAACCATGCAATTAGATGCTTAGCCGAAATTAGCCTAGCAGCATTTCAAAGATGCATTTGGAAACCATCTTTGTAAGACAAAACAAAAAATAATGTAATAAAAAAAAACATATATTTTTTCGTGTTGGTTTCAAACTTCTTTAAAACTTGAGACAAAGGTGGTACTGAAAAACTTATATAAAAGTAGAAAAAAAGGGAAGAAAAAAAATGAGTGGGGGCATGTGGCTCATAGTCATAATCACACACCATATCCACGACATGTGTCCATGGGTACATATCTCCTTCACCTTTACAAGTTTTTGTTGAAAAGTTTAAGAAATTATATTTACAAAACTTTTGTACAAAATCTAAACCAACAAAAATAAAAATGACTAATTAGATAGTTCACATGATAAATAAAAGTAAAAATATTGTAAAAACTTGCTATAAAAATAATATGAAGAAAAAAATGAGTTTGGGAAGTTATTTTATTCTATGGTAAAAAGAAAAAAATACTTGAAAGTTATTTTCTTGACATAGTTTTTATAGGGTCATATATGTCACTGTAAAAATATTGACAATATCATGCTATTAAAAAAAATATTTAAGTAATTATTATAAAAATAATAATCAAACTATACACGATAATATGTAATTAGATAAAAATTAAAAAACATAAAAATGAATATGTATATATATATAGATTGAATTTATTTAAATTAAAAAATATACGCATAATTATGAGATTAACTAATAAAACATAATTTATATAATTTTATAAATTTTAAAGTACAAGATCATATAAAAAGTTTTATAAAATGAATCAATCAGAAATCATAATTTGTATGACTTTTAAAATAATTATCATAAAAATTAACAAACTTACATTCATGATGAATTATAATTAGATGATTAAATAAAATAATATTACATCATTAATGCATCACCATTTAAACTCTTTAGTTGCAATGACCTCTTTTATGATTCACACCAAACTTCATTGGTATTTGTTAATATTCTTTTGAGGGGGGAAACAAATTATTAGAAATATGTGGTTGGCCCCTCTAACAAGGAGAAACATGGTTTTGGTGGCAGAGAGACACAGTGAGAGCAGCTTCAGAATTTGCATCAAGAAATCATCTGCCCCATCACATACAGGATCAAATGTTGTCACACTTGTGTTTGAAGTTCAAGACAGAAGGACTGAAGCAGCAAGAAACACTAAATGGCATGCCAAAGGCAATTCGTGCAAGCATTGCATACCATCTGTTTTTCTCTGTTGTGCAGAAGGTTTACATCTTCCAAGGAGTCTCAGATGACTTTCTTTTCCAACTGGTTAGTAATATACTTTGAGATAATCACTTATACACTTACAGTGTAAAGTTTTTTTACACTGACAACCAATTATATTTTTTAATTGTATCATGTCACTGTAAACACATTTACTTTTAACAGTGACATGACATAATTAAAAGATATAATTGGTTGCTAGTGAAAAAAATTTTCATCCATTAATGTGTTTTTATTAGCCAGATTGGTCATTTTATTAATTTTTTGTACTAATAATGTTGATTTTGACTAACATGATATCTCACAACTTATCACGTATTCCTAAATTGACTAAATTATTGTGAAAATTTGATAAAAAAAAAGACTAATTTGATTTAACATAAATATATTAGAAGGTCAAAATGAAACCTTTTAAACTTATGAGACTAAATTAAAACTAAAAATAAAAATAAGAGACAAAAAAATTCTATTTTAGCTTAAGTAAAACTAATCCAAATAAAATTTAGTTTAATTTTGATACATTATTGACATATAGATAGATGTTTACATAGTTAACTAATTAAAAATCACTTACATATAACTTTTAAAATAATTATTTTAAAAGTCAAGTATCCTCAAATGGCAACGAAATTCTTTATATACATTGTATTTTTTAACTTGATTTAAGAAGGTTGAGTCAAGTTTATGAATAAGGCCTTGAATGATAACTTCTTATTAAGTGTTTAATTAATATTAAACTAATGCGAGTGATTTTGTACCAATAGGTTACAGAGATGGAAGCTGAGTATTTCCCACCCAAGGAAGATGTTATACTACAAAATGAGTCTCCCACGGACCTTTACATGCTGGTTTCAGGGGCAGTGGTGAGCAAGCTAAAGCATGAGTAATCAATTAGCATTGAATGAATCTTAAAGAGTGACACTAACTGAAAAAAAAATATTTGTTTTTCAACTGTGGCAGGATCTGATTCGCTATGTTGATGGCCATGATCAAGTATGTCATAACTTTCAAGCATTACATTCTCTCTCTATCTCTCTCTATATATATATACTTAGTTTGTTTAATAATTTATGTTCTATATCAAATTTTAACAATTCATCAGTTTAATTTAAAGTTCTTAACATATAAATTAAGTTTATAAATTAAAAAAAATTAAAAATTATTTCATATTTCATTTCATTAATTCAAATTGAATTAATGAAATGAAATATTAAATAATTTTTAAATTTTTTAAAAATTTGTAGATTTAATCTATACATTAAGAATTTTAAATTTAACGGTTAGATCATTAAATATTGATGTAGAACATGAATTATTGAACAGAGTAAATCTAAGTAGACTTACTCCTAGAGTAATCAGATTCCTGCTCTCTCTATATATATATAAGTTGTTTAGGTACATTTTTTTAAAAGCATTTTTAGTGGAACATAATAGGAATGAAAAATGAAATAATTTTTTCATAAACTAAAATTAGTTTATACATAATCTATTTTGTAGAAGTCTCTCCTAATAGTTTCTCTAAAATCTTATTTTTAATTCATGTATAAGTTAATTTTAGCTTATAAAAAAATTATTTTGATTTTCTTTCCTATTTTTCTCTCTTAAAAGTGTTTTTGGAAAATCTTATTCAACCATATGCTTTGTACACAATGAGACAACAGAACCTAACTTCCTACCCCGATATTGAAAATTCAGATTCTGAAGAAGGCTACTGCAGGAGACACATTTGGGGAGATTGGGGTGTTATACTGTACACCACAGCCTTTCACTGTTCGGACCACTGAGCTTTCTCAAATTTTAAGACTCAGCAGAAGTTCATTGATGAATTCCTTACATGCGTATCCAGAAGCAGCACAAATTATAATGAAAAATATTTTTACGGTAATAAGCATATTAAAATTATGCAACTTCATTTTCATTTATCACATAGCACCCCTCACAAAATACTTGATTTTTAGAGTTTAATTGTCATGCAATGTGGTTTACGCTGATAACCAAGTAGAAATCTCTGTTAGTGTATGATTCTTAAGATAGTTATTGACTTATTGTAAAATTCAACAATTTTATTATGTATTGTAATTTGTAACGTTAGTATATAAAAATTGTAAGTGTATTCTAATTAAATTCAAATACTATTATGATTTTAAGAATTTAATTATTCATGTTGGCAGGTGTTGAAAGGGCATGAAGGATTGGATTTTGAATATCCACCTAGGGACCCTGGATTGGCTCTTTACCAAATGCATGATTGGGACAACACAAGAGGAAGTTTTTCTGATGCATCCAAAAATAATTCAGCCAGATTGCATTACTTGATTCCTGAGGATGGAAAAAGAGATCTTCATGCTACTTTGCCAAATGGTCATCCTGACATGGAAGAAAATGAAAAGAAGCTAAGCCCTATAAGATGGAAACAAAAACCTCTTGTAGGCCAGCATCAAAACAAGAGCATTTCTGACCTTGCAATGAATCATGAAAATAGGAAGACATTAGATGAACATATAATTGAGTTTTTGGAGCCAGAAATCCCTATCAACCACCCTTTAGGAAAACTGTATACTAACACTTATTCAAGTACCTCTAACCATAGAACTGAGAGAGAAACAGAAAGATTCTTCAAAAAGAGAGTTACTATCCACTTTCATGGCAAACACAAAACCACCATGCAGGAGCAGCATGGGAAGTTGATAATCCTACCTGATTCATTAGAAGAGCTGCTCCATATTGCTGGTAAGCAATGATTTAAAATTTAAACAAAATGAAAATGAGATAAAAAAAAAAAAAAAATTATGTTGCTATTCTAAAATACATAGAAAAGGATCATGAGTGTTTATTTTTCTGGTCAAATACAATTATTTAAATTGAAAAGTATGCACTTCTCTAATTTTCACATTCTGACTTTCAACTTGTGATATTGCAGGAGAAAAGTTTGGAGTCTCCAAGCCTACAAAAGTAATTACCAGAGAGAATGCAGAGATAGATGATATTAGTGTCATTCGAGATGGTGATCATCTTTTTTTTTCTTTTTAGTGACACTGGAAATTTAAGTTTATAATCTTCTCAAATGCCAGTTACAGTGTGCAAGATCTGAAGTGTGATCTTCAGGAGGATGATAATAATAATAGTCAATACAAAATTAGCAGACAGATTACATAAAGTGTCAAACTGTCATTGGAGATAATGATCATCTCTTCCTATTTTGCAGAAAATACTTGAAGTTTGGGTTGATGATTTTACCTAATTGAATATAGCTGTAACCTTTAGGGATGTAATATCAATACAGTCATATTTTAACATTTTGAAAATTCATAAAACTTCAATTCCCAAAGATGCATTTTGTTTATGATGCAACAATCACTACCTAATTTAATCTTGGTAATGTCAAACAATGAAATACATGATGCCACTGTGCTTTGTCGAAAACCAATTTTTCAGAGAATCGAAAAAGTGTATGGATCAAGAAAATTATCGAATCATTTCCATACTTTTAGTAAAAGTGGTTAAATTCAATTTCAAAATAAAAATGGACTTTGGGGAAGACCAGTCTAATTAACATTAATGTTATCAATGCACGTTTGTCTTTTTTGGTTAACCTTCTTCACATTTGACTTTCCTCAACTGCTTTAAAAAGAGATCTTAAGGAAGGTTGAAATGCAATTCTTAAAGAATTTCCAAAATGCTTAATTGGGAACTAATTTGTCATTTATATTGATCTCTCAAAGATTTGAAAATTTTCACAGATTCAAATGTCCAAAATGCTTAATAGAAAATAACTTAATTATTTTTCAGGACCTGAACTATATCAGAATTCAGAAAGTTCTCTCCCCTAGAATAAATTCAAAAAGTTAATCAAGTATTAAAGATGATAATTTTTCAAAGGTTAAGGAAGATTGAATTTCTATTCTTAATGAATGTCCCTGTGAATAGTTAGGATGTGGGAAAATGCCGTAGTCAGTTCAGAATATAATCGTTATGTTATAATCAAAATGAATTTTGTTTAAATAAGTTTATTGGAAAATAGTTTTGAAATATATAATTTCATTTAAATACAAGAAAAAATAAGTTTTTATATGTAATAAATTTTGCTTGAGTTGGGCTTCTTGGTCGGATGTACTTTTCTCTTGTTTCGGTTCCTTTCTTTATACTTGCTATCTTCTTTGTGGAAAAGTTTTCATTTTCTATTAAAATAAATGGAAATAGAAGAAAAAATAGCTACCCTAAGTCTTCCGGAGAAAAAAATGAAAAAGAAGCTACATTAATCAAGTCTTCACGTACAAACTGTAAAAGACCCCTTTATCCTCAAACAAGCAAGGACTCAATTTAGTCTTGGCATGTAGTTACCATTCTTCAAGTACAACTGTAAAAGACCCAATTATCCTCAAACATGAAACGTCCAATTTTTTTTGTAACATTTTTTTTTATTTTCAAAATGTTACAAAGAACTTGTGCTCAGATGAGATGGGGTCTACAAAAAACAAGATGAGGAAAAAAAAAACTCTAGCAAAGGAGAACTTCACACCATTCCAAGTATCATATAGCCCTGAAATGTAAAAGGAAATATTAGGGGTAATAATCCAGACATTTTTGGGTTTGTTGACAACTAAAAGAGTATTATATTGCATACCAATGAGGTGCTAGAGAAAAATTTACATCAAAATCTAAAAAACACTGCTTATTCAAAATTTACAAAATGTTTCCCCACCCCCTTTATCTGGAGTGGTGGAAGAGAGAAGCACATTTGGTTTCAAAAAGAAATGAGTAATTTCAATCATTTAAAAATGCAGAAGGCACACAAGCTCTCCCAGTATGTAACATTAAACCAAGTAGTGCGAAGAGTTAGCGTATGCAACTCAGAAAAGTTTTCACAATTAAGTATAGAACATAAAAATAAATAATAAACTTGTATGATAGTCCAAATCCACACCTAATTAAATTCCAGCAGCAAAGAAAGTGAATAACCATAGATTCAAAGTTCAACTGTGTACGAGCGAGTTGGTTCTATGGAACATGCACAATTCTACTAATTCAATTGGAAGACCAACAAGCAGAGTACTCCACACACTCCAAATGACTCTACAAGTAACACTTTTCAATAAAACAGTATCCACCAGTGTTCATTTAACAACCACAGATGCATTAGCAATATTGCAGTTTGAAAGGTAAATGCAACCTGAGGTTTTATATTGCAGATTAGATCAAATCACAAATGCAACCACAGCACTGCATCAAACTGCAATGGCTGCAACGCAATCAAGATGAGACTACAACCACAATTTAAAATTTTGACTTACCTGCACTGCATCACAATTGCAGTTGCAATCACCCACACTACTCTGCAGTTTTGATGATTGCAACACAACCCCATTTTGAACTTCCAATAACTATTTACATATGACACAGCCAGTGATCTCTTAAAACAAAGCAACACCCAACATCAATGGACAAACCCCATGCAGATGTAACAGACAATTATTAAACCAAGTAAAAACACAATCAAGCACTCAAGACAGATGAAGGGAACAAGAAGATTGATTACCCCACACAAAATAAAAAGATCCTACGTGCTACAAAGAATAGACCGGATATGTAAACAGACCACAGGTTCAAAGTTCAATGGATACATGTTTGTTAATTTTATAGAGCATGGACAACTCAGTTATAGTAGCAGGTTGTCTTGAAAGGCTAAAGCTACTCCTCGGGTTAAAGTTTTTGTTTCAACTTTGATACTTAATATAGTTAACGCTTAACAGGAAGATCACTAATGATTTGATAGTCTATGCTGTATAAATGGTCAAAATCCAATGACTCCACCAGATTAAGTCTATAGACCCACCACAAGTTTTCCTAAACTCTTGTGTGAGACAACATTGACATTTAATTTACCCGATGAATTACATGCTATATGTTCTGGGATTATTCAAGTCCTATTCACCTCTTTTAATTAAGCTTAACTAGGAAATAGAATGCATAGAAAAGAAGTGGGCATAAAATCTCACTAGCACAACTGCATAATGCAAGTCTTAAACTACAAGTAAAGATCTTACAAAAGTCAAATTGAAGTTCACAAAACTAAGGAAAACAAAAATTATAATGACAATTTTTCCAGCCCAAATAATCCTAAATTCATTGCATTTCTTTTTCTTACTTTTACCTGTAAAAGTGTAAACTATTACATTATTAATAGGCACGCACAGCATTCACGTTTAAAAATGTGTAAACTACTTTATAGTATGCAAGATGCAATGCAATGCATTAAATTGTAAATCAAGTCACATAGCACAAGCACAGCCACAACCACATCAGTTTGTGCTCGTAAAATGCATCAACCTGCAACGGCCACTGCATTTCCAATTTAAAACCTTGACCATACTGCATCACAACGCAACTGCAGCTCCATTTGCCCATGCTTCCCCCAAATTTAATAATGCAGCAACCGCAAGTTAAAATTTCGAGTCTCTCAAGACAAAGCAACGTTCCACATCAATGGACAAACCTCATGCAAATCATTTTGCAATCGTAACAAACAATCATTAAACCAAGTAAAAATACAATCAAACACTATATGTAGGGATCAAATTAAGAAAATACTGATGAGTAAGGACCAAATTAAGAGTGTGTTACATGTATAAAGATTGAATTAAACAATGTGTAATGGAATTAACAGTGTCAAGGACCAAGTCGAATTTAATTAGTTTTTTAATGTATAGAGACCAAATTGAGAATCCACAACACTCCAAAGACTAAATTATATGTTTAACCTAAACAAAATCATTTTGCAATCGTAACAAACAATCATTAAACCAAGTAAAAATACAATCAAACACTCAAGGCAAATTTGATCCTCTATATGTAGGGATCAAATTAGAAAATACTAATGTGTTACCAACTTAAGAGCATGTTACATGTATAAAGATTGAATTAACAACGTGTAATGGAGTTAACTGTGTCAAGGACCAAGTTGGTAACATTTAACAATGTGCAATAGACTAAATTATATGTTTAACCTAAACAAAATCTTGAGAAGTACGCTTAAAGCTAGGGGTGGGCAAAAAAAACTGAACTGAACTGGTGGTGAACTGAACTGGTGGTGAACTGAACTGTACTATACTATAAAAAACTGAACTGTTTGTAAAAAAACTGAACTGAACTTTTAAAAAAAAAACTGAATTGAATTGAACTATTGGAAAGTTAACTGTACTGAACTATAAAACTGAACTGAATTATAAAAATTGAACTATTTTTATAAAATGATAAAAATTAAATGTGTCTAACATGTTATGTCTTAATCATGGTAGTAAGTATCGTAGGAATCGCGATTCGTATCGTACGATACGATTCCGTGCTTCAGCGATTCGAATCGCATGGTGTATCGTTTTTGATCCTGAATCGTTTTCGAATCGTTTGTATCGGGTTTAGAATCGGAAAATCGCGATTCTGGAAGGTCTCGCACGATTCTGGGAAGAAACGGGTCGCGTCCGAAACCGGGTCGGGTCATGCGCGACCCGGTTCTGAAAACCCTAAAAAAAAATGATTTTTTTTAAATAAAAAAAGACGAAACTGAGACAGAAAATGCCGATACCCATTCCTGTACATGACCCACTTAGTGGGTTTCACTTTTAGTGGTCCCTTTGTCTCGTCCAGGTTCGCAGCTTCGTTTGGATGGCTGTTTGGGTTGCTGTTCTTCGTGTTAGTGGTCCACTTGTTGCTGAGTTTATGCAGCAACAACACTAATATTTTTTTTGGGTGGCTATATTGCTGATTAGAGTAGCAAACAGTCCCTTGTATATGTATATATTTAGCAACAACAATGATTTTTTTGGAGGCTTTGTTGTTGAACTGTACAGTCATTTCTTTTGGCTTTGAGACTGTTATTATTTGTATAATTCTATCTTTGTTTGTATTTTGAAGCTTATATATTACTATATATTTATGTATGACTTCATTTTGTCTGTTTCTTTATATTAAAATGTGCTTAGAGTGCTTTTATATGTCTTGTATGCATATATATACACTATGTTTTTATTGATCATGAATCTTACGATTCACGATACGATTCGATTCACGATTCAAAAAATAAGCTTTCCGATACATTATGTGTATCTCGATTCAACTACCATGGTCTTAATAGATTAACTTGATAGTCTAATACCCAAAACTTTAGAAGAAAAAAAAGTGATCCAAAAAAAATTGTATCAATTTTGTCGAATCTAACGGATCAATTGAGTTATATTGGACTACTTATTTTTAGGCTTAAAGTTTACTGAGTTTGTTTGACTTAATTTTATATTTTTTTTCTTTGAAAAATTTAAATAAAATGGAAAATAAAGTATTTTTGGCAAATGTGTCCTATTTTGATAGATCAACGAGTCAAAATTGTTCAATTCAAAATATCATAACAGTTCAGTACAATTTAAATTGCAGTTCAGTCCAAGTTTTTATAGTATAGTTCAGTTTAATTTAATGACACAAAAAAATAGTTCAGTTCAGTTCGTCTGAACTAATATTTAGTTTAGTTCAGTTCAATTCATGAGAACTATTTTTAAGTTCAGTATAGTTTTTATAAGATGTTCAGTTCAGTTCATTTTGCCCACCCCTACTTAAAACCTTAAACCTGACTCAACCCTACAAAACCTAATTCTTAAAATACATTATTTTTGTCATATGATTAGTCCATATGAGATTTTTAACACAAACAATCATCAGACCAATTAAAACCACAATCAAGAAAAGCTCAAGAGGGGCCAAGAAGATCAATTACCACAAAGAAATCAACGTCCACCGGCATTGAGCGCCATGAGCAAGTTCTTCCCGCCGGGCAAGTAAGCGACGTTGGGCGACTTGGCGAGCGTGGCGGCGACCTCCCGGGAGGCCTCGATCCGGCGGAGCTCGATGAGGCCCATCCCGGCGGCGGCGGTGGCGTCGGAGATGAGCTTGGCGGCGTCGCTCTCGCCCTCGGCCCTGATGATGGCGGCGCGGCGCTCCTGCTCGGCCTTCATGACGACGAACTTGGAGCGCTCGGCCTCCTGCTGCGCGACCTGCTTCTGCTCGACGGCGCGGGAGAACTCGGCGCCGTAGGAGAGGTGCGTGATGGCGACGTCGTCGAGGAGGATGTTGAAGTCGCGGGCGCGGCGGAGGAGGCCGTCGCGGACGAGGGCGGAGACGTGGGGGCGGTCGGTGAGGAGCTGGTCGGCGTTGAACTGGGCGACGACGGCCTTGAGGACCTCGTTGCCGATGGAGGGGAGGACCTTCTCGTCGTACTCGAGGCCGAGGTTCTGGACGATCACGGAGAGCTTGTCGGTGTCGGGGCGGGAGAGGACGCGGAGGGTGAGGTTCACCATCTGCAGGTCCTTCGTGCCCGACACCGACGAGAACGTGTGGGGCCGCGTCCGGATGTCGAAGATGTACGGCTTCTGCACCCACGGGATCAGGAAGTGGGTCCCCTCGCCCACCGTCGAGTCCAGGATGCCGCGGAACCGGTCGAACAGGACGGCGCGCTGACCGCCGTCCACCGTGTACAGAGAGGAGTTCAGGGCGGCCGCCGACAGGCCCAGGCCCAGGGCCGCGCGGCCCAGGTTCGAGAGGAAGGAGGTGGCGGCCTGGCTGCTTCCCATTTTGGAGTCGACGAGGGTTCAAGCGAGAGTCGGATTCGGGTTTAGGGGTTTAGAGATAACAGGGAAATATGGTAAGGGTCTTCTTTTGTTTGGGTTTTCTTCTTTTTCTTGTTCAACACACTTGAATTTTTATTTTTTTTAATTGATTTATGTAAGACCATGGTTTAAATTAGTTTAAGCGTAAGATTGGTTAAGAAAATTAGTTAATTTAATTGATAATAACCATAAAAAATATATCACTAATTCTCGATTGAATTAACTCGACCAGTTAATCCAAGACAATTTTTAAAATTATGCTTGTACTCAAGTCACTAAACTCTGGTTCCCCAAATTCCCCAAATTTGAAATTCAAATTTGAATTTTAAGCATTTGGATGCCTATTTCTTAGATATAAAAAGGCAAATGAAAGTTTGTTATGACATGATGTAAAAGGTGTGATGGGATGTGGTAATAAGAAAAGGAATGTAGGAGCAAACATGCAAAAGTGTGACTAGTGTGTAAAATATGTAACTAAGTGGGTGTTGTCTAAAGCCAATGAAAAAGTGTGAGGTTTAGAAAGTGGACATCCCACCTTGGGGAGAAAAGGGTCCCTACTCTCTCTTGGCCCAACAAGCCTAATAAGCATATTTTCCAAATATTAATTGCACCCTCTAAAATACTAAATACACCTTTAAAGGAAAAATTACAATAAAACAAATTCTTATTCTAAATGACTCAAAAATACAAGGTCAAAAATAAAAAAAGAATATTTTGAGATAAAGATTTACAAATAAGAAGAAATGGATTACAATAAGTGTGGAGAAAAGAAAAACATAAAATGAGGGTTGAATAATGTTACTAAAAAAGTTCAACACTTTTTCAAACAACGAAATAGTAATTAAACCTTAAAAGTGCAGACAAATAGTTAAAGTGCAAAAAATACATAGTATTTTTATATTAGTTCGTCTCAACCATTTAGACTATATCCAGTTCTTGATCAACTCAATCAAATTTTATTATCTTTGCAAAGATACAAGTATTCTTTCATAAGTACTTCTAGCTCAACCCAAGTATTTTTTGAAGAATGAAGCCTCTTTAGACTTCAACAACCAAGTATTATTTATAACAAAGTCTCTTTAGATTTTAACAATCAAGTATTCTTTATAACAAAGTTTCTTCAAGTTTCAAGCTATAACACAAATACATGATACAATAACAAATATTCTTTCACAAGTCACTTTTGGCTCAACCTGAGTATTATTTAACTTGTCTCTCCAAACAACTACAAAGTATTCTTTGAACAATGAAGCCTTTCCAAAACAACCAAGTATTCTTTATAACAAAGCTTCTTCAAGCTTTAAGAATCAAGTATTCTTTACCACAAAGTCTCTTTAGGTTTCAAGCTATATCACAATGTTAGAGATGGGTAATCACAGTTGTTTCATCTCACTCACAAGACATGATACAATAACAATAAAGTACAAAACTTTTTAAAGTATGAATTTTACAAAGATTATTTTCTTATTTGTGTGTATGTATCCATTTTGAATTTTTAAGTTTCTTTATATAGGTGTTTTATGAAATGATTGTTGCAAATCATTGAACTCCACTCACAAGCTTGTTTCTCCTTTCTTCGTCTTCCGTCCTTATAGAATAAAGTGTTTGTTATTGCAATAAATTTGTTTCAACAATTTGTCATTTCTTATTTGATCAAGTAGATTATTTATCACCGTTAAGGTACAAAATGGGATGAACTATTGTATGTGTCATTCAAAATGACTTATCAGAGGCTTCGCATGCTTTGAAATATTTATTTGTCCTTTTCTTTGAAGAAAAAGAAAATCTTCATTCCTTTCAAAAATTGAAGTACCAAGGAATAACATAAATATAAATGATTTGATTAGCATATATCATAAATAATATATTTAATCCATTCGTTTTAGACAAATGAAGCGATTCTTTTGAAAACTACATATCATCATAATCAATCATCTTTTTAATTTGTCTTTCATATTAAATATGAAAAAACACTTCTTTATAAAAAGAAGTTCAAATTTGTTAATATTAAAACTCATATTCTTAAAGATTCCAAAATCGTCTTTTGATTTAAAAATAAGTAACTCAAAATTCAACATGGCTTGAGCCTTCTTCCTTCAAGTTTACCCTACTCTTCTTAGTTCTTTTTGAACTTGTGGCATGGACATGATTCCATTAGTCTTTACATTTTTATTAGAATTGTCATATTTTATTTGTATTCGACTTGTCATCTTTATGTTGCATTTCCACAACTAATTCTTAGCGACACGTCTTTTTTTATTAGTTGTTTATTTAATTATTATTTTTCATCCCAACATTTCTTGCACCTCACACTTTTATGTTTTTTTTTTTCCTTTCTTTCACTTAGTTGTAAATTTGTTATACATTTATTAATTTTTTTAATAGTAGTTTAAAATAAAATTTTATTTGAGTTTGTTTTTAATCAAGCATCTAACTATGTAGTGGTTTTTATTCTAAGTATTTTTAATGTATGACCCATTTATCTATTTTTTTATTTATTTTTGGGTTGATGTATTTGAACAATAATTGAATTCTTTTTTTACTAAACAACCTAGAGTGTTTACCATAGAAAAGTTTGTCCAACCATAGTTGCATATCAAATTTATTAAGTGCATGTTTGGTTTCATCTTGAATTACATTAAAATATCAATTAATGTAATTTTAGGTAAACTTTCGTATATTTGATTTATGTAGAGAACTTCATGCTAAGTCTTGAATTGATTCTCAATATTGAATGCTTTAAGTAACATTCTCGTTAGTCAAATTTTATACCGAATTTTATTACTAAATTGTTTATAAAATAAAAATACTCAAACGTAAATCATAACACTTTAAAATTAATTTTGCCAAACACTCATACAAACATATATTACATACATTATGCATGAAGATAAAAAAAAAACATTCTTAATATATTCTTTTTTATTTTGGATTCGCCTCGAGCAAAAATCCTGGCTAGGCCCTTGTCAAGTCCAACTAGGAATGTGTTGGGATGCAAGCAAAGTTTCACATCATTCAAATAAGAGGATGAACATGAGTTTATATACACACACTTGTCTTCATTGGTTGAGAGGCCTTTTGAGTGATATCCAAAAGCAAATCTATGAGGGCTTGGGCCCAAAACAGACAATATCTCACCAATGTGGAGACATATGTGTATGTGTGGTAACTCCCTCGGTGCACAACAGGATGGCAATGGGACAAGATGAGTATAAGTTTCATGATACCCGTCCCCGTCTTTATGGCTCAAATTCATTCCCATTCTCGTACCCTTCAAGTATATATTTTTCGTCCCATTTTTGTCCCCATCGAATATTGGGTATATTCTTACTTATTAAAAATTATTTTTTTTGAAAAAAAATATACAATATTTTTAATAATTAAACAACTATAAATGTTTCATATTATAATAAATAATCACAGATAATTAAATAATAAAATTCTTTAACACAATTAAATCAGGAATGAGTATTAAATCAGGGATGGGGTGGGTAAGTATATACTCGTACCCGGTTTAATATATCGAATTTTACCCATATCCGTACTCGTACTTGGTCAAACCGGGTATTCCCCGTCAAAGTCGGGGCGGGTTCAGGTATTACCCACGGATATGAGTTTATTTGTCATCCCTAAGTCCAACACATTATTACATTCAAAAGAATGGAAACTAAAAATGTTCTTTCTTTTTCTTAAAACTTTTACTTAAAGATTTTGACGTATGTGAGAGATTATTGGATACTTGTATTATATTTTAGCTTGTGAATTGCATAATTTAAATATTTATTATATATAATTAAAATAAATTATTCTTATACGTAAATGCTATATATTTTAATATATCATATATATTAATTTAAAAATTATATAAAATATATTTTTAATGTATAAACTATATTTTATATTTATAAAAATAACTTATATTAGGTCACAAGATTATCTTTAATTACTGAAAATTTATTTTAAAATTATTAAATTTAATTTAAAAATATATATAATAAATACAAATTGAAATAGATAAGAAGTTTTTTATCTCTAGAAACTAAAAGAAAAAAGTATCTATAAATGTTCTTCTAAGGAGAAACATCCAAAAAAAAAAATATTCTCATGTGCATGATATTATTTTTATTTAATATATAAGGGTGGATTTGGAGTGAGTATGTCAAAAGGTTATTGCATTTATTTATTAAGTTTTAGAAAATTATTTTAAATTAATTTAGTTTTTATCAAATATATATTTTAGTTAAAAATAGTTTCATTAATTTGGTATTTTAGGTCAAGTTTCTCTCAATCTTTTTAACTTGACTTTTTTTGAGAGTTAGTTTCACGTTACACTCCTAACCTAATCAAATGTTATTTTAGAAACATCTTTTTCTTTTGATATGAATATAATAATTCATAAGGTTTTGTTAGAGCTCTGTACACATCTTTCCTTTACCATTTTATTTCTTATGAGTTCTTAGGATATCTTCGATATAAACTTGTTAATTCTATTAGTGTAATCAATGTTGAAAATAACAAGTAATATGTTGAGAGAACTATGCATCACGCTAATAAGTCATTGATGAGAGTGTTAATAGACCTGCTAAGTTAATAATCTTTGTTATTATACAATTTAAAATTGAGTAACTTACACTTCTCTTTCAAAAATTAACTACTCTCCCCTTTTAAGTAAAAACTACACTTCCTTCCCTTTATAAATTTTAATATATAACATTTTACTCATTCTTTAATTTTTTTTTATTAAAGTTCTCTTAACTTACGAGACAAAATTTGTATTACTAAAACACCTTTTACATTAGCATTCCCTCATACATTTAAATATTACATTACCAATCACTAGGGTTAGCCTAGTGGTTGGTTGGGGAGGACTTGGGTAGTTAGAAGCATGAGGACGTAGGTTCAATCTTCATTGCCACCATCTTTGTAATCTTTCCTATCTTTACCAAAAAAAAAATATTACATTACCTTCCTTCCTTGTGCTAAAATAAATATTTTCTTTATTGAAAATTCAAATATGTTATGCTTTAACAATTTATCTCTTAATTTACATATTTAATTATTATGTTCATATTTTTTTTATAAATTTTTCTACATTAATTATGTATTAAAAAAAATATT